TCATCATGGATTCCAGGGTGGTTTAAGTTTTGACAAGGTGAAATATATAAGTAATGTTTGATGTGCATGGGTTTTCTTAGAGATACAAAGTATTGGTCCTATGTAACTGATATTTTATGTCTCACCACTAGCTAATGATTGTATATTTTTATATACTATATAGCAAGATATGTCTGAATATATAATATTTAATCACCAGAATGTTAGAGTAAGGAACAGGCTGGAAACTTATATGGGAATCTTGTTAGTGAATTATTGGATTTTACTTCGGCCTGTCGGTAAACGGTTAGTTTGAGGTCCCACTTTACTGACTGTATTTTTAACCCGAAGCTGGAATAATGTAATTGTACTCGAAGGGGAAAAAACATAGTCTTTCATAGCATATTGGACATTCATGATTGGCTTTTAGGATATTTCATAACAAGCCTGAATCATCTCCTCCCTCGTGGGCTTCTCGATCCATGCAGATATTTTAGCAATCAGAACTACTGAGAGTGAAACTTTTGGAAGTCGGTCCACCACCAGTGCTCTGCCTCTAGATGTTAGATGGTCTTTGTTCAGGTTTTATCCATGATGCAGCAGATCTGAGGTCGAACGCATTAACCTGTGAATCTTTATGTTTTGTGAAGAGGACTGAAACATGTCAGCCTACCAGCAACTTGTCTGCGCAAGTCGGAGTCTGCTCATACTCTCCTGTAGCACCGAGAGACGTCTCTCTCGAAAAATAGTCCTACATCAGCAAAACACACTGTACACTTTTGAATACACATATTATCTTAGCAACAAACCAAAAATCCCACCCGTAAAGGACTAATTGTTTTTTGCTTGTAGTCACTGAAATTGTGTAGCTTCTAATTATTCTTCCGCAAATGAATTTGGAAGACTTGAACCACATATGTGTAGAGAAATTCATTCATCTGCATTTCATGCAGAAAATGAAGCAAATAAATATTGAGCTTTTGGCTTTTTTAGATGAGCATCACTGAGATCTCACATTGCATCTCATATACAGGCCCCAATGTGGCCTGTGAAAACGAATCCAGTGTGTTTTGTATGACTGCAGAAACGCGGTGGATTCAGCATAGAAATGAAATTTTTGCAGAGCTTCTTGTGGCGAGGTTGACTACGGAATGGTCTCAAACTGTTCGTACTGGCTGTGAGGAGTAACGGAATCTCATAAATGCTTTTGAGCTGCTGTACTTTTTTTATCTGTTCAACATAGAATACACACATACCATTTAAAAGGAACCGAATTGTGTGTTTCTCCTAAACAAAATCCTGATTTGTGTTATTTTGCCCTTTAGCAGAGCTTGAGGCTGGAGAGCATTTCCTCAGATCTCTTCATGTGGATCTCTCATTGTCGCTAAGGAAGCGCATTATATTTTCTTGAAAATCAAAGTGTTTGTTGATCATGACAAAATATTTTAAGATGACTATTTTGAATATAGATTTTACTATCTTTTTTAGGTCAAATTAGCGTAGTCTGTTGAAATCTAATCTCTTTTTTCCAGAGAAACAAAAGAATCCCCTCTGTTTTTCTGTTGTACAGATGTTATTTTGATGTCGATACTGAAGAAAGCTTTTGGTAAGAGGGCAGAAAGTAAAAGGCTGAATATATTATTATATACAGGTTCAATGAAAGTATCTTCTATTTTAGATAGTAAACAATAATTATACAGACATATATGTTTACAAAGATACATATATATAATATGTTTAGATGATATGAATAAGATTTTTAATGACAGTTTGGTGCAGGATATTGCAGTCTGTAGGAGGATTATAAGAAAGATAGGTAATTTAAACAGAAACAAATATTTCCCAGCTCAGTTTTTTTTGGTGCCATGCTTAGTTTGATTAAACTTGCTGGCATTTGTTGTATTTGACCATGAGAACAAATATGTTACTAGTCCAAAAACAGACTCCCATGGTGTTTAGCTAATAAGTTTCCTTTTCTTAGGATTTGCCTTTGTCTGATTGCTGCATGTGCAAAGGTGTCATTTTAAGAAAAAAACAGAAATCCAGTGGATGTACAGCTGCATGATGAAGGTGACAGCATTGTGTTTAACGGGTTGATTGTGATCAGGAACCAGATTGTCAGGATGTTTGAGATATTAGTGGCAGTAGTCAGTATTGACATTACACCCTATTTCCAACCTAAAATCTGGATTAATAAATGCCCATTCAATCAGTATACTGTGACTTAGACAGCTGCGTCTATTTTGTTTTTCTTTTTTCTTTTTGTCTGATGGGAAAACTGACTCTTACGAGCATTTTAGGTCTTGACTTAATAGATCCGAATTTAGTGTTGAGGAGCAGCTGTCATTTTTTTTATGGGGCTCATAGATGAGAGTTGCTTGCCCAATAGGTTTAGAACATAGAGAATAGCTATATATAATGTTTCATTGTGTAGCAGCACACACAGCAGCACCTTTACGTGAATACTTTGAATGACTGTTTTGATAGATAATTGAAAGCCTTGTATTTGTTGCTCATTCTTTATCGTTATGCAAACAGTATAATCAACCCTAAATCAGAAAGCAAACAAGACTATTACCAAACTTGATTTTTTTTGGAGAGGAAGACCACACCCACAGCCTCTTTTCATAGCAGTCCATTCCAATTATCAAGGGTTTCCAGTAGTTGCTACCTTTGAATTCAGCACATGGCTTTGACGGTGTGGCAGCAGCTTTATGATGATGCAGCGATGGTTCTGGTCTCGATGCAGCTCGTCCTCACTGGAGCCATGAATGTCCTTGCCTGCATCTGTCACTCCTCTCTGTATTTCACGTCGCACCCTCGTATGATAACTATTTCTATAGCGTAATCCCTCTGAATGTAGAACACAGTGATGTTTGTACTGACGTCTGAAAAAGCTTAGAATTTGTTTTCCATTTTCCTTCAGACCAGCTGCTGATAGACGAAAAATGTTTTTCGACGGTCATCTTGTTCACCATAGACACAACAGAATTTAATTGGCCAGCAAGCTATCTTTGTCCTAATTGGCAAAATGACCCAAGATTGAGATTGTCCTTTATAGAGCACAGAATTAGAAAGGTCAGTCGTTTGTGTCTGTGTGAGCAAGCTTTAACGGAAAAAGAGCATTCTATGCGTTTTCTTCCTTGAGTTACATCTTGTATTCAGCAACAGGAGATCCACTGCTCCATAAACAGAGTGGTTTGACGACAGTCTGTCTGTTTTTCATGGCTGGGGTAAAGGCCAGGACTGCATGGCTCTGTTCTCTGTTGGTCTTATGATCTCGTTTGTAATCCTCAGTCACCACTCATTCAAAGCGTTAAAGGGCCTTTGGCAGGACTGAGCAGATCGTTTTTGTTGTTCTGCATCAGGGAGAAGTCAGTCATTAATCCTGTTTTTGTAGGGAGGTGTTCACACAGAGACCAATTTGTTGTATTATTAGTAGTGACACTACTGTTAAATGTAGTATTTAATAACAGCACTATTTATGGTCAAAATAATGAATTAGTGTGTTATTGTGCTTGCGGTTGCTTTGGAGACAGGTGGCCATTTTGTAACCAAGTTCTTAAACGTAAGTCACTCCCCCTCCGGTGCAGGAGGAATTTCATTGGTACTAAGGTTGCTAAGTGACACTGGCCCGAAATCGTTTGGTTCCCCCAGTTGTCATTTGTCTCCTCGGTGAGGACTGCATGGTCTCACAGTTAACGCACCCTTTTTTTCTTCTTCTTCTGTTTCTTTTTCTTTTCTAAAGGAGAATTATTGATTTTTCTTATTTATTCATTCATTTCATTTTAGATTTTAGAAAGGGAAAGAATACGAATTAAATAAATCAGAATATTAATTCAATCACTTTTTCTACTCCTATTTTCAATAAAAAGTTCAATGAAAAACCAAACAAAAAGTTGATTTGTATATAAGTCATGTACAGTTTGTATCTGTAACTTGTCAGTCTGTCATTGGTGACAGAGTCTGTCTTGCTTATAACGCACGCTACCAGTAAATAAAAAAGGAAAAAGTATATTTAGACTGTATGGTCCCTTGAAAGCAAGTTTTAAATTAATATCTGATGTATATTCCTGTAACATTGCATTTTTATCTGAGGAATGTTATTAAAAAATTGCAAATAAATTGCATTTCCTACAGCTGTGTTTTTCTGTTTTCCATAAGTATTTGATGAGGTGCAGCGGACACCTGCTGGCAGAAACAGCCTGATTATTGTTGAGAAAATGAATCATAATGAAACGTATAGATTGGAGATGTAACCCAATAAATCAAAACTGCTGTTTTATACTATGGAAAAAACCTATAAAAGATGAATAATATTAGTGTGGGCACTTATCGGGAGATAAAGCGCAGCTGTGAACGGAGAACAGCAGATCAGGCACGGCTGGAAGTTTAGCAACAGGATCCCTCATTTTTACATAAACTGCGTTAGAAGCTGACTTCAGGGACTACTCTGGTGAAGTAAATTAACTCATTTGAGCTTCAGCATGTTACAGAACTGGAAAAGGACGTCCATTTCCTTCTGCATTTCAACCAGCTGCTTCAGTTTGAATAGGTCTTACAAACATTTGCTGTTTTACGTGAACACATTATTTGGCTGCTTTGGATTTCTCTGGAACGTATTTTAAAGTCAATTTTCCTTCATCTCTGTGGATTAAATCTATCAATGATGTTCACCTGGATTTATAAGAGTTTGAATAGTTTGAAGCATGTGTCATGCAATGTTTACACCTTTTAAAACTC